GGAGAAGAAGAAGAAGAAGAAGAAGAAGAAGAAGAAGAAGAAGAAGAAGAAGAAGAAGAAGAAGAAGAAGAAGAAGAAGAAGAAAAATCATCAATGAGTAGGAGAAGTACAAGTGCAAATCACTTCAGAAAAAAGAAAAAGACGTAAACTAAGCAAAGAGCCGGCCGGGGAAATAATTTTTTAAAAACAAACTAAGCAAAGCTAAGCCGTAATTTTGTTTACTTGAGCACTTCGTTCTCGAGCTCCAGCAGGAAGACTAAAAATAAACCCGTCCCTCCAACGATAGATTACGTACTCAATATGAGAGTAAAAATAAACAAATTACTAGTTCTATTTACTGGTCCATACACAATAGTAATTGAAGCAGTTTCATGAGAGTTATTACACCAGCATTTCGAGTCATGAATAGAGAGCATAATGAATAATAATAACGGATGTTTTTATGTCATAACAATGCGATGATGACATCAGTACCCGCAGGAAGCAGTGGAACTCAACTGGTTAAATCTATAGGATATGCGTTTGTGACCTCCGTAAGTTCCTCTTTGGACGTGCTATTGTAACATTACTGAAAAACTGCATTATAATCTATTCATTTTTAAGTTTTTAACAAACCTCAGGATCTGTTCTTYCTGTTGTGGGCTTCCTGTGTTTGATGCCACAGGAATCCTGGTTGTTTCTATCTCTTTGACTTGCATCAGAGTTACATGCGCATTTAGGCTTTGATCAGTTTGCAAAACTTTTCTCTTTTGGTGAGGAGCAGATCCTTTTATTTCTCTCGATTCAAAAAATACAAATAAAAACTGTCATTCAGTTGTCACAGTGAACTAAGTTTCAAAAGCCACAAGAACTTTGTTCCGTTTTTTCTACTAACTGTGTGCACGTGGTAACAGGTTTTATTTCAATTCGTGTTAAACACCATGAAGATCTCAATATAAACCTGTAAATCTATTGATCGTTGTGTCACGTCCGATTGATGATTCTTTATTCCTGTTTTAACAGAAACATAACTAAACCGGAAATGACGAGTTCGCACCAATCGCTTACGTATACGTTTGGATACGCAACCAATACCGACGACAACCAGTTAAATATATCCTACACACACACACACACACACACACACACATATATATGCCTATGATATGCCTAGAAATATCAAAGGTGATTACAAAAAAAAATCGTTTTGCAGGTAGTGGAAGAGTAAATCTGTAACGACAACAGGAAAGTGAAGAGGCCAAATCATGTCTCCACTTTTCAAAAACATAATGACTCTGAAATAAAACAGTTAATAGATAGATAATTTGTAACACCGTTGCAGTTTACACTAGTTTTCACTAGTTTTCCACCTTACTCTGAAATAAAAGTTTACCAGTAAACGGATATATAAAATAATATATATAGAAAAATAATAAATGAATAAAATAAAATAGGAAAATGAAGGAATGTTTCTTTGCAAAAAAAGGGATAAAAAACACTTTCATTCTAGCTTTATTCCATTATCATATCAAAGGTCGTTTTGTGATTCAGCTAAGTAACCGGAAATGATGACGATTCCTTTATTATAATTCTGCTCTCGTCGGGTCGTCGGCCCGGCAGTCGCTAAACTTCGGCGGATTTAAAAAAGCATAATAAGAATTTTAAGAGTAGTTTTAGAAAGAAAAAAAGCTACTTATGCCACTTTCTCCTCTGAATTTATTATTAAAACTACTGTTACTTCCTACTTCAGCAATGAAGTAACCGGAAATAAATGATCTGATACTTCTCGATCTGCTCTCGTGAGTTCGTCGGGTTTTGTTCGTGAGGGAATCGTAAAGTAAAGTTTCCGGCGGATGTGGAAAGCGTTTTCCGTAACTTTTAGTTCCTCTGGCCACAGTTTTTGGATTTTCCGATGTAAATATTGCATAATTATTAATTTTAATTTAACATTTAATATATACATAGTAGTTTTTTATCAAAAAATATATGGTTGTTTAAGCTTGAAGCGAAATTTAAACGGAATGACTCGTTTTTAGTGCAGTTTGTTCCTTTTTTAACAGKTTTAAAGACAAAACGCAATCTTTTTGTTGGTGCTTTATTAAAACGAAAACATCTTAGTTCTGATTTTTGAATATAGAGAAACCAATCCGTAGAATGATAGGTAARTGTCAGGAAAGAGTCAGAATATAATTCACAGTCTGTGTCAGTCAAAGTGATAGTAAATAGTTCTGTTTGTTAGTGACAGTATCCGTTTTGTCATAGTTAATATTAACTATGGTTTTGTCTTGGGTATATATGTAACTCTTTCTGTTTCAGCGTGTTAGCTTGCAATGTCCGGTGTAGAGCGTATTCAAGTACTTCATATTTCATTTTCTATAAAAGCCGGCGTTGTTTTTCAGCAAGAAAAATAAGATAAAAATATATAAATACAAGCAACAAATGAGAAAAATAACTTAGATATAAAACAAAGAAAAAGGGAAAAAGATAGCTTAACTTTTAGGGATAAATCTCGTTCGGAAATTGCATCAGATGAAGTTAGTTTAGTTCATCTTACGTAAATAATTTTTAAAAAGTCCCAAACTCTAAACAGWCCAATTTGTAATTAATGTTTTTTTATGGAATAATTCCATTGAGTCAGCCCTCTTTGTTATATAAATCACTAAAGATTAATTCACACCGTTTCATTATGAAAGTGAGTGATATTGCATTAATGACTGGACGTCTGCTCTTCTCACGAAAGAGCTGAAGCATTTGTCCTTTAGTGATATTTCCACGGAAGTGTTTTGTCATGTTAGAAACGCTTTCCAGAAAAAGCAGATTCATAGAACAGAGATAAACAAGTTACAATGCCGTTGAAAATTTTGTGTAAACAAAGGGTTTGCAAAGAGTAGTATTTGCATAATAAGTCATTAAGTGTTCATTAAGCGTGCATCTGTGACGGATTACTTAAATAAATTTATCTTAACTGATTCTCGTGAAGAGAAAAATTATGCAATTTCATAGGAAATTACGACGCTTTTGTTGTTATAGAATAAAGCTATTTAAATCTGCAGAACTAAATTTCTATCGTTATTTTTCACTACAGAAATTTGAAGTGCGAAAAACAATTAAGTGCTCCGTGTGAAGTTTGAAAATGGAAATCACATAGACTTAATGTTTGGTGTTGTATCACAACCTTATAATAATTATTTCGCTTCTTATGACAAATTGAAAGCTGAATTTCGATTAGAATAAGACAACGTCACAAAAGGTTATACAGATTCTCAAAGCCTTGAGAGAAAAATGATTAAATTGTCCGACTTTTTTGCAATCAAGAGTGAACATAATATATTCAGTATGCCACATTTGACATATAGTAGGAAAAAAGCAAACTTGACACGGATGTCCTCGCTCGATAGAATTCTGATGGTCACCGGAGAACCACCAAAAATCAAAAGCTTACTGATTAAATAAATCACCGAACTGAACAAAAAAGATGGCCTCGGTTCTAAACTTTTAATCCACAAACAAAAGACATTTTCCAAGTGAAGGAAAATAATTGATTTGTTGAGTTGTTTCGGTATTTCTAGACTGACCTAGTTGGGTTTGACCTCTTCAGCTGAAGACTTAGTTTGCTGCATYGCAAAGTAATTATTGTTATTATTTCAAATAACTTTAGAACGTTTTATGGTCGCTACTATCTCATGAGTATGTGGTGCTGATACGGACTAAAAAGGTCTTTTGGATAAATTCCAGTTTTTGCATCTTGTCAAGCTTGCACTGAAAAGAGATCTTCTTTTAAATGGCAAGATAACCTCGTGTCGTCGATGCACTTTGAGTTATCAAGTTTCTGTTCGTGCTAGCGATCGTCTTTTGAACTCTTTGAATTGTAATTTAATACTTCTTTACTGGTATTAGCGTTTTATGAACCTTTGTATCAAACGGTGGATTCAAGTGGTCTTAATACACAAGTTTTTAGTTGTTTTGGAACTACTCGATCGTAGCAGAGGATTCTTTCGAGGGTGTGATTCAAGCACATTAATCGAAAACTGAAAAACGTTTCGATAAAGAAAATAACCACATCAGATTTGTTTATCAACTTTTCAAAATCTTCATTTATTATTGCAGTTCTTTGCAAATAAAATACAACTTCATATAAATATCAATTTAATATATATATCTAACTTTTCAATTACATAAAATACATATTCTCTGGTTTTCTTCTGTTATCTCAATTTTTGAACTGTAAAATGCTTCAAGTTTTCTTTACAAGATTATATACATTTAGCTTTTCAGCTATTTCGCTTTTAATGATAACAACACRACCTTCAAAATCGTGTTAAAATGCAATAAATAATATTTTTCGATTGTGGTTTTGATGTCTCTGAGATTAACGTAACTCAGTTCGTCAAGTTTAACAGTAATTGATGTTGATGCATGAACAGTAACTTTACAACTGTAATGTTCGCAGACATGCCCTGGTTCGACGTTAACTCTTTGCAAATCAATCTTTAACTGATCTCCTCTTGATGGCTTCACTGTTTATGTCTATAAATCAACATTGGTTCTAAAATATCTGAGTCTTTAATGCGTGTGTTGAGGCTGATGCCTTTTCATGTGTAGGGCCAAATGATCAGATCTTGCAAAAGCTCTATCACAGTGTTGACATTTGAATGGCTTGTCTCCAGTATGCTTTCTATAATGCCTCGTAAGTTCATCAGACCTCGCAAACCTCCATTCACAACCTTCCCACGAACATTTATAAGGTTTTTCTCCTGTATGCGTTCTCATGTGGGCTTTAAGATGCGAGCTTTTCGTGTAGACCTTCTTGCAACCTGGATGATCACAATGGTGTATCCTTCGTCGTTGCAAGTCGGGAGAGTTGCGTCTGTTACCACTATTAATGAGGACAGTCTGTGGTGGTTGATAAGGAGGTGGAGGTCCAAGAGGATGACTACTCAAAATAATCTGTGCTTGTTCCGGAGATCCAGGGTTCGAATTTGGCGGCGTTGGAGGGAAAATCACAGTGTAGTCACTCGGTGGGGGAATAACTTTGATTTGTCGAGAAAGATTCGAATTTATATTTAACACAGTGTTCTGATGTATTGTCTGTTGTATTATCGACGACGAAGAAACTGGATAAGATCCGTCGCAGGAAGTAACGAATACTTTGTCACACAGAACGCCATCTTTGTCGTCTAATTCGTCATCGAACGTGAAGAACTCGTTTACAACATTCGCGCTTTCGCGACGAAATTTTCTTTTCCTCAAGTTGGCGATGGACGGATTAACTGGTGACTGAGCACAACAAAGATATTTATCCATCTCCCATCTTGTCTATAAAAATAAAATAGAAAACCAATTGGTTAGATAATAAATCAAACTGTAAAACAGAATCAATATATTTTAAATAGCTGCCTTCAAAAAGAGCAACCGACATGCATTATTAATTTAACTGTTCGATTGCGTCCAATTTGAGTATAAAGAACTACAATCAGTTGGTATATTTCAACAACTATTTGGTTTTGAGTAAATAAACTCTGGTTTTATCAAGGAAGGGAATAAGATTTCGTCGAAAAATAATGCACAAAACGAGCGAAAAGTTGCTAATTTCACCAAAGGTCATTGCGTATATATTTATTCAAACAATTTTTTTTCCTCCTTCAAGTGAAACTTTCAATATAAAAACTATGACCAAAACGTGAAATTTTGTAACAGTTCTTTCTAATTAGTAGAAAAAATTTCTTGATATTGTCAAAAAAGCATGTAAAAATATATCCTGGACTAAAAGCGAGAGTTTATTAAGATATACGTGTGACAGAGTGTTGTTTTCGCGCCTTATCAAAAGTCGGATGATAATGGAGTGTATAGGAATGCTAGTAGTTAGTGTATAATATAATGTATAAATAACATAAATAATCAAACACCAACCTGTTGCCATTCTTCAGTGCCATTCTGTACGTTCATCACTGATCTATTTTCTGGTCGAGTCATCGTTTGAACAGTAGAGGAGATGAGTTGACAATCTTGACTTACTGATGTGTCTTCGAGCACGGCTCTTGCGTTCTGTATCACCGGTACGGCAAGCGCCATTTCGACTATATACTCCTTACCAATTATTCAACAGTGTGTTTTCAAAAATTAGTGAACAAAAACAAACTCTCCAAGTGTTGTAAGTTCAATTTTTCTATTACAGAACGTGTTAGTTTTGCGCTCTACTGTTTCGTGTTAACTTTGCTACCGTTTATATGCACTCGTCCGAAATGTTGTAAAGCTCTTATTGCCCTTATAAGGACAATTTAGGCGTGTATTTGATAAAATCTTATTGTCATTTCTGGACAAATAAAAGTATTCTCTTGGGACCTAATCAACCAATCATGTACCTCGTTTCTATGAGAAATGACGTCAATGACCTTTTAGGTCATCTTACTGTTCTCTGATTGGTTCCTTTGTGTTGATATTTCAATTAGACCTAAAATCAATGTCAGTTAATTGACAGAAATTTAAGTTGTTATTGTGCAGAAATGATACACTCGAGAAACAAAGCCGATTGAAACCCGAGAGCAGGTCGAGTGATACCTCATTTCCGGACTAGAAGATTCGGCTGCATTCCGTAAACTTTCGGATTTGTCATCCCTTAACTCATTAACCACAAATCACCCAATAAATACTCTTTTTGTCATGAGATGTTGTTTATTAAAATGTTTCCAGTAGTTCAATGTTTTTTTGAGGCAGAAATATAGACTTTTTCTAGCAGATTTTCAGTTTTGGCACAGGCTTCGAGAGTACCGGACAAATATGACCAAATTCGGGAAAACTTCGTCTCACGTCGTTAAGTTATCTATTTTAATCTTCGTAAAGGTCACATGCCAAAAAAAAGCACATGTCATTTGCATACGATCAAAACAAGTCTAAAGGTAAACAATATCTGGGCTCATTTAACCGAAGAAAATATAAAGAAAACTTTATACGAATGGAAAGAATGTGGTTTACCAAAGTATTGCATGACAATTTTCGTTTACTTCAAGAACAGAGTGTTAGTCCGATTTCCTGTCCATTACATTGTAACACAAGTAAAACATTTTTTAATCTGCTGACAAAGCATATGTTCAAAAAGTAATTTTTTTAGACGGAAATATTAGAAAAATGTCTTTCAACCGCAGAGGACAGCCCATGATCATTAATTTGTTATCGCCAAATTCCGATTACAAGCCCGTAAACCGATCTTGGCGAGATCGGATCCACTCGTGTGAACGAGAGGTTAGCGAAGGTGTGGCGACATCTGTCGATCTGGCCGATTGATGGCCGACAGATGCTAAAATMCCCGTCGAAGTGTCTCGTTTTTAATCGGAGGCGTCGCCGAAAGCTGTTGAGAACTCGATGGAAATATCCGCTTTCACTCCAGGGTTCAACTAAAAGGTCGCTGAAGATCTAATGAGTTGARGTAGCTAAAACATGGGCGTAGCTAAACATTACTTGTGCTCTGCTGCTAAAAATACTCTGTAAACACCGTGGCTAAGACATTACATTTTCAAGATGTTTTGATTAAAATATTGTTTCAAAGTTTGATAGTTTGAGCATATACTGTGTAAACAAATCCAAAGGAATTTTTGAAAACATTTTTGTAGATAACATGCTTTTTGCTCTGATCGGTATGGAAGATTTTGAATTAAGAGTTTGATATTTTACGACCCAAAGTTTTGTCTTTTTGGTTAACCACACCGGCGAGCAGTTTAAAACCTTTTCTTGAGGGATAATCCGATAGGTAAACCACTTCAATCGAAACTAAACCAAACTGATTTTAAGAATGTACAGAAATAGATTATTGTACAAGAGTTTCACCAACACGAAATTACTGAAGACAGTAACAAGAAAGTCATAGAAAAAAGCGAAAAAAGAAACTAAAAGAAGTCTAACGGTCGCTACCTGTCGACTGCCTTATTAAGAAAAAGAGTATAGTTCTGAAAACATTTAGTAAGAAAATATAGCTTGAACTAGAAGTATAGGAAAGCGAAAGAAACGATAGAGTAAGGAAATCTTTTTTAAACATAAGGTTAGGCACCTTTTTTGGAATGCCGACACTGAAGAAAGAAAAACTGCAGTATTGTACAACGCCTGGAGGGTATAATTTGACTCTCTTTCTACTTTTCTTTTAAAAAAAGTATATTTAGCAATTTTCTTCAAAATAGAAGTTTAGCTAACTAACAGGGCCACTAGTTTAACAGTTATTTTGTAGCTATTCCGTGCTACCCTCTTTGAATAAAGAGTTTATTATTATTATTATTAAGATTCCTTAATGACATCGCAAACTTCGTCAATCGGTAGACCCATAAACCACAAAACTTCAGAGAAGTTCCGACGGTAGCAAAAGCGAAAGAATGTCGACGGCGCTGCCGTAAAACCAGTATTTCCTGTCGTAAGTGACGTCGTGGATGAGTTAAGGCCTATTTTTGTAAAGTAAACAATTAATCAGGCATGATAATTGATAATTTCTTTTTCATCGGCGTAAATATTTGTTTTATTTGAGTAAACGTTTGTCAAAAAACTTACGGGCTTACATCAAGGTATTAGAATAATTCTAAAAATCTCAAAGAATTAAAGCGAAAACAGTTTGAAGAATTTAAGAATTTTATGAAAATTTAAAAACTTTTATTTCTTCATAAAAACTGAAAAAGTGACGCGGTTGGCGGGTGGTCGAAGATGTCTCCTCCCGAGAAAACTAAACAAAGTATCTATCATTTTCGTATGTTTTCAATCTAAAGTTCAAAGAGACGATCCGTGAATTACAGATAAGATTACGCTACAAATCTTATCAATTTCTTAAATTAGCTTAATTAAAACCGCCTCCGGGATACAAGTGCAGGATTATAAGGGTATTATTTCTTTATAAATAAATCCTTTTAAAACACTTTTATTATTTCTGCATAGAGAGAATTTTTCAACGATCCTAACATCCTTGGACTCTACACAACTAAATTTTGATAATATTTATCGTAAAGTAAAACTGCTTTTACCAGGGCTTTGAAAAGGAGCTTGGGATCTAGATATGAACGCTGACTTTCGACTTTTTATAATCGGAGGAAATCCACAAGGGAAACCTATTTTTGGTGGGTGTTTAAGCAACGTACATTGTTACATTCATTGATCTGTTTCGTCGTAAGATTATCTGTAAAACAGCATAATTCTTAGACACTTGCTGCTYATAACTGGAAAACAAGATGTAAGGACAATTTGCGAACATTATTTTTGTTTAAAATAGCTAAAATTTCAATTGAAATGTTGGCCAGAAATTTCCAAGTTTTATTTAAGTTTCTTGGAATAATTGGCTACCTGCTGCTTTGTGTTGACAACAAAAAAAAACAGTTCCTTAATTACTTCTGTGGAATCTTCTAATCCCAACCCGACGGAAAAACAATCGGAGATTATTCGTGTGTGGCGTCGAGTATTTTCGGAATGCTCCGATTTGTTTCGGTTGAGTGCATTGACGTCATAGCCGTCTGATTCTTTTGTATTTGTGGTAACACTAGACTGGGTGCGCCCGACAGTTATGTTCGGAATGTTTCGCTCAAGAGCCGTAAGGAGCTCGTTCACAGCGAGGTCTTGCCGAGGTTAAGTCGACGACATTTGATACGATCGCCTTAGCTCGGAAAAAAAAGCTTGAGTCGTAGACCGCGACTGACATAATCCACGAACGGTAGGAACACTTAAAATATATTTCGACGTGTTTGAGATTAAAAAGAAAAAGGAGGTAAATTAAGTAATGGTTTTCATTCATTTTTCATAATACTTTATTCTGTTAAATACATTTAAGCGTAATTTTTCAACTGGTTTTAAGCTTAGTAGTATTCTATTATTTAGCTCATAAAAACATGTTCTTTTCCAATAACTTCGCTGTCCTTTTGCCCTCAATCCATCATCACATTCTTCAACACAAATTTTGTTTTCGAGTAGCATTCGGTTTCCGAACGCGAGCCGATACCATCAGTCATCTCTAAATATAACATTCTGTGATCTTACTTTAAGCCTTTTCTGTTTGTTTTTGTGAAATTTTCGCTTTATCAAAGTCTAATTACCTTTTTCTTAAGACATCAACTTTCTTAATTATTTATTTTTTTATTTTTCAAAAATCTGTTTTGGGGAATATTTTTTCTCGACTTCTTGGTTACACRAGAATATATTCAGCATTCGGTACATTTGAATCGTAACTCTATTTATCATGAAACTATTTGTCTAGATTATCCTTGATTTCGAATCAAAAACTCCGAGCAAATTCTTGCTTCACGAGATTTTCAATTTCGTTAAGTTTCGAACTACGCCATTCTGAGAGAAACAGAAAAATGTGAGTTTCAATATTGTGAATTTTTACTTTTTGTTTTCATAAGTGAAGTTTTTTATAGGTACTTAGATATTACTTGTCCAAAGAAATATGTATTTCAAGGTTATTAATAACGAGTGAATTTTATCGTCCAACGTCCAGTCAATCAGTGTCGAATGCGGTTGTTATACAATGAAGGTACGACGCAAAAAGAAAGCATAAAAAAGCTTCAATACTTTACTGTTTCAAGTTTTTATAACACACTAGCTATCACACATGTATTTTTTCCGCTATTTATTCGTAGTTGATTTTGATACATCTTTTTAATTTTTGTTTTTGTTATTCCACTCGTACTAATTGCTAAATCTAGCAAGACGCAAATATCGATCATGTTAGACTATTAAGTCATATAATAATTCCTCTATTGTTTCTAAGCTAGTGTTAAGAAAATAGCAGCCCCCTAGCAGTGAATGTAAAGTACGTTTAAAACTAATATGAAAAGTTGCGCGAATGGTAAAGGCGTCATAAATACTTCAATAAGCCGTAACATTCAGCTAGTCCTGCATATGAGAATATATACATATACGTATATAGACTATATAATTGTACTGCGGTTATAATGTATCTAGTTGAGCTGATCTGCGCAGTATACCAAGCAACTTTACAGCTGCTAATTATTAGAAAAATCAGAAAAAAATTCCTGGTCCAAGTAGATATTATTTTCTGAACAACACTGATCAACAACAAAATAAAATAATATTAAAACAATAGTGATAAAACAACATTGAGAACAAAAATAACTACAGCGAAAATAGCAGAAATTCGCGAGAATAAGACTGAATGTTTGCAGTTTCTTTTTTCAGTTCCCCCGTTTGTGAAATGATTTGAAACTATCATAAGGCTTTCACGAGTGTACCATGGCAAAGAGTATAAATGTATAACTTTAACAAGAAACGTCAAAGGCTGATTTTCCCTAGATTGAGTATTGAATAGAACGGTCTGAACCTAGGAATATGCAATAATGAATGTTAATCGAAGTATAGAGAAAATAAGAGAAAAATATCAAATGCCCTTGGCGGGAAACGAACCCAGGTCTTCGGTAATCAAGGACCAACCAGGGTACTCGTGAGGATCCCAGAGCGATATTTTCTCTTTAGGTAAGTTGAACACCGTAAATATGTACGCAAAGAATAGACATAGTATAGTAGTGATAAATTATGCGCTCGATGTGTGTAATGAAATAAAGAGAATAAGAGAAAAATTTTGAAATTTTTCTCTTATTCTTTCTATTTCATTTACCCTGCGAACAGAGTCTCCTTTTAACTCCTCTCGCAGGGTATATTTCATTACACACACCGAACGCATAATTTATCACTCTTTGATCGAAGTATTATGATCATCCGGGTGGATGTAGTCCTGAGAAGGACTGTTTGATGTGACCGACGTTTCAACAACCTGAGCGGAAGCTTGAGATTGAGTCTAGATTGAGAAAAGGCGGATAGTAGACCACGAGAAGTTATTTTGCGTGTTTGGCCCTCTCCTGGCTGGGTCAGAACAAGCAACTACAACGCTGTACAGAAGTCTTGTGTACGTGATTCAACTGTCCCAAAATGTATATCTAATCCAATACAGAATACCGGGCAATGAATAGCCATTTTATGTAGCTGTATCATTTTATAGTACAGATGATATTGATGTATGTATTCATCGAAAGGCTACCGATACATACTCKAACTTAGTCAGAACAAGAATTCCACGCAGCATCCGAATCTTAATCATCATCAGCGCAAGATAATTAATGCCTTCAGAGGAATATTTTTCGAATTTTTTACAATACAAAATGGGGACTTTTCAATATAATCTTATATCTATCTTATAATTATAATAACTATACCTAAAGAAGCACCATTAGAGGAAAGTAGCGAGTACAGTACTTCTTTTATACTGGCCTTCACAGTTCATCGTGCCCGTTATGGTCTGTAAAACTTCTAAGAGCTTACGACAAAAAAGTCATCTACATGCCTCTTCGTCGTTTATTTTAAGTTCATATGAAATTTTACTCAGAAATTTTAGAACTGATTGGGCAGTTGTGGTGCGCTTTTCCATGGAAACTGCCATTAGTGCAAGCACTGCTGATGCCCGTCTAGTAACTCTCAGACACAGGGCGTTAACCCAGCAGGAAATACTGTACTATTTTTAACCGATATAAAACAGTACAATAAAGGAAACTTTCCGTGGTACTTTATATAAATATGAATGAAATCGGTTAAAAGGCATGTTAGAAACATGGCGTCATTCCAGTTAATTTTAGATGTCTCGTTTTTTGGTGGATTTAAATGAGTCACCTAGACCAACGCTGGGTTATGGGTCTGTCTGTAAACTTAACTATATATAATTAAGGACATTCTATGGTTTGATTTTAAATTAGTATATCAAGGCATGTTATAGACATGGGTTCATTCCAGTTCTTTCCGAGGTGTCTCATTTTTACGTCTGTTTGCTCTGTCTGTATATAAAAATAAGGACCTTCTATGGAATATGAGTGATATTTGTTACAAGCATGTTACTATGTATGGATTAAACCACTGATTGGGTCGCGTGCCAGTCTACCAACACTATAATAGTTTTTATCCTTTTTTACTCCGACGAAGGACTAGCGCCAGTAGGTTGTTTTTCATCTTTTCATGGTGTATAATTTACCCTTTTATCGTTACTGTTTCATTAGAAACACCGACGCAGCTCACACTAGTTTTTTAGCTAGTTGTCTCTTTCTATAATAGTTAGTAGATTTGTTTGGCACACTCATAAAAACACTTCGACCGCGCATAAAGTAAGAACTGTTTACGAGCATGTTACCCATGGTGCGCTTGTTTGTTTTTTAAGTCGATTACTATAGTCTATGTTGGATTAGACCATTGGATCGTGAGTCAGTCTGCTAAATCCATCATGGTTAGTAGACCCGGTATGAAACACTCATAAAAGCACAACATAACATAAGAACTCTCCATGGCATACACTAAGGAATTAAGTGAAATCTGTTATTAGCCTGCGCTGCATCCGGAATTTTCTTCCGGATGCAACGCAGACTATCCGTTACAAGCATGTTGCCGTTTGGGTTTTTTTGGGGGTTGGCTACATTACTAGAATATGTGTGCACTATTTGACTACTTTTGGAAAATTAAAGAAAAATACAAGTCATCAGCGACTTTGACTCATTCTCATCTTAATGGCACTTCCATGCATTTTCGTCTTCGACCAAACTTTTTAAAATGTGTTTGTTTTGTTTTTCTCTGTGGAAAATTGAATGAAACACGCGATATTTTGCGGAGGGGGATCATCAAATAAAACGACCCTATGTTAACTACGTGTTTGTTAACTCAGAGCATCAATTCTTTTTTCACTCATGGTTGAACATATATATTACTACACATTATAAATGATAATCTACCATGATTGCAATAGTTAAAAAGTACAGAATTTTGGTTGATAATGTACAATCAACGTATGTAATAAAACTGTGGAGCTAGATTTGCTATCAATCTTTCATAAGACATACAAAAGTCTGCGTAAAAGATACCTAATGTAGACCTACACTTCTATCTCCCAAAAAAGGACCTCTAGGAATGAAAAACAAGAGAATATGAACTGGTTCATTTTCTCTTGCGAAAACCTTAAAATGAAATAAAATCCCGTATCAAACTCAATAAATTTGTACATACTTATCATAAGCTGATTAACCCTTTGGGTAAAAATACTAATTATTAATACAGATACATCCTAAGCACATGAAAACAAGCGTCCAATAAACCCTGTGTTTAGGATTAAAACTATTATACAAAAGGTCTAATTTTTTGTTCAAAACCCCCATATAATGGTCAAGTCAAAAAGATGGCAGGAAAGACCAGGTATCTCAATCTAGACTATGCAAAAATTCCCTTTAGTAGTATACTTTTGCTTTGCTTTTAGCCAACGAATGAGAAGATATATTGATATTCGTATGGTTCTTGCTACCAAAAGATTAGTCTAGATAATGAGATGGGTCTGTTCCATGTCAGCTTATGGTACCATCTTGTTGCAGTTTTAAATATTGGTTAACTGGATATGCAGAATGCAAGGAAAAAGATGCTCTGACAGAAAATAAATTTCATTTTTTGTTTGGTTGCAGTCTAAACATTGTAGTTTGTCCATCATAGCATAGCCTGCTTCACATCTGGGTAGATTTATCTGGATGTGATGCAGGCTATCAGATGGCTGTAGTTTGATATATCAAAGACTCTGGCCACACTGCAAGGCTTCTAGTGACAAACTTAGAATGAGAGAACTAGCAAGCCTTTTTAACCCATTGAATATTATTTCTTTGTTTACCAGTAACACTTGAGAAGATGTAAGAATATGGATGTAATTCTAGTAATCCTTGCTACCAAGGACATCCATGAAACAAGATAAAATAGGATGAAAAAACATTGCACTTAAGCAAAAAGGGTAGAAAGCTGATGAGTTTTAGGTTTGTTTTAACTTCATTGAGGTGTTTACGACCTCTCCTGGTACTAGCAAACAGCCTGTTGGATAGTTTAGTTTGAACTCTCTTTACGTTTAGTCTCTAAGATCCCTCAATTGCTTGAGACAGTCATMTGTTTGTATCATGCCTTATGTTCACACCATGAAAGCCTTGCAATGGAATCAGAGTCTTTGATATATTAGATATGGTATTTCATTTCACATCTGAAACAAATCTAATAGCCCATAGCTAACAGGCGAACGAAAACAATAGATCTAAATACAGCCTAATACTAAATCGATATAAATTAAATGGTTGAAATGGAGTCACTCTATTTCATACTTCATACCTCAGAAATTCATTTCTTATACCAAAAAAGACCCTTTAAAATCACACACTTTAGCCAGTTATTCAGGCCAAGTTTCTTAAATCACTGAAGCATGAAAGCTTGACTGACAAATGAGAAAATCTCCGGAGATCAAGTGTCAACATGATACTAAGAGACTGTTCATTTCTTATCCAAGAGGAGAGTGCTGAGATTTGCATTTGTTTGTATTGCTTGGTAAAGTGAACAAACTTGACTGTTTAGCAAGATTTTGGGTGTATCACCATGCATATAGCCAAACCACACTTTATCCAATCAATGAAGTAATATTAGTTATTAAAAAAAAAGTAAAATACCTATATTTAACATCGGTAGTTCCTTCAGTTGAAATTCAACTGCTATCAATGGAAGCCGACGGTGTGCACTTTACCCCCTCTCTCCATCAGTGCTCTGTTTTAAGAGTATTTAAAGCTTAAGCTACATGGATTAGAGAATTCGAAACAGACATGGAGTTCCTTAGGATAGAACTATGGACCTCRAGCTCTGAAGGTTGCGCACTAACCAACTGAGCTACGCCTGCTCATTTAAATGAACAGTATAGATAATTTGACAGTCATCTTTCTGCTGTGGGTTGTTAACGCACGGAACTCCATCAATCAGCAATGATGACACTTGGTGTCTATCATACCCCAATCAAATACTTACATCTACGTCACTCTAGCCTTCTCTACACAAAATCACTATCATGGGATCCCTGTCCAATCAAATACCACAGCAGGACCAATTTGGAATATATTGATATGGATGTAGAGAAAGCTAGAAATGCATCATGAAGATGGGATAAACATTGTATGATCAATACTACCAAGCATAATAAGACCCATACAATAATATCCACATCTAATAGGTCAATCCTTCAGGAGGTCTAAAAATAATAACAACCTTTATGTTTATTAGTAGAATCCACCATCTTTGCCGTTGACTGGCCGTTGATGGGCATCACTTGTTAGTGTACATTTTTCACACAGTTCTTCGTATGTCCTTCCATGAAGAAGGCAAACCAGGATGACTGTCATGTTGTCACACCCAAGGCCGCCCATCTGACAATCTGGAGCTAAGCAGCGTGTTAACAGCTCTTCGCATATCTAAATCAGAGAAATCAAATTTGTATTTAATGTGCACCTGGTTTGTAAGCACCAGGGTCGGAGTGAACAGGGGAACATCCGAGGAGACCGTGTGTCATTCTCTTGACAATGAGATGAGTTGTATCCATTTTCATGTGTCTTCTAGTGCATAATCATTAAACAAAGAAATGATGCTCTAGAGAATGACACATTACTTGAAATGGGAAAACATTAAGCCCAAGACAGAGGTATATTCATATTCTAAAATCTAAATGAATTCCCATTTACCATCCCCAGGTGTGACCCATTCATAGATTTTCTAAATCTCTTTTGATGCTGAACAATTCAGATTTTGAAGTTGCACAGATCTTTAAATTTAGTAGACCTCAGTAGATCTTAGAACTACAAAACTTTGCACAAATTTGTACAATTTTGTTAGTTAACTTTTTCAGATATATGGTTTGAATTCTAGCAACCTTTGCACAGAATCTGTGCATTTTGAAAAGGAAAAAAATATTACTTTAGGGCTCAGTCATATGAAGGGTCAATAGTACTATCCAAAAGATAACTCTTATCCAGTGGATAAATTTATTGGATAACAGCATTGAATTATCCAACGGATAAGGATTTATCTGCCGTATAGTGCTATCCAGGCTTCGTACAACTGGGCCCTGGAAGATAACTATAGGGTATTTAACTATAAATATGAAGTATTGAGAAGAAATACCACTTCAGGTTCCATTCGTTGAGCTATTCTTGATCTAACAAAATCCACTACTTCTTGATTAGATAAGACATCCCATATGCCTGAAAGTGCACAAATGAACAGCTAACTTACTGATCAAACCCTCAAAAAACCTCTGGGCTGATCATTTAATAATAATTAATAGATAATAAATTGGCATTTATATATGGCACCATTTCCAGGAACTCAATGGTACTTTTTTAACTGTATTGACTGATAGTTCATTGGTAAATTTGGCAAACAGCAGAGAGATAAGGTTCTCAGTGTCAACAATAGAGAAATCATGTAGATGTGTACATTACAGACTTAGTAAATAACTGCACACAGAACACTTACCATCACAGGCTAATATAATAAACTCATGTTCTGGAGTTATGTCTTTAACTAACACATCTGGTAGAGCTGTCAGGTACAAATGCAGGCAAAGAAATATTAGAAACCTACTTTTGATTACCACTTCATTAAATGTGAATGAATTAATAACTGAATGAATGAATAACTGAATGAATGACTGAATGTATGAGCAAATGAATTGATAAATGAATGAGTAAATAAAGGAACAAGAGAAGCAAAAATAACTGAGGAAAGGGATTGTTTTTCTTTTTTATCAAAGATTAAAATAAGTTAATGTTTGATAGATTAGTAATTCTTTTCAACGTTGGGAAAGGGTCCTACAATTTTCACCTTTGGTCATAGGAGGAGAGGGAAGCAATCTAATACCTGTAACGATTTGTTCCTCTGGAGTTTTTTTGTCATTCTTCTTGAAACAGAAATCTCCCAAAGCTCTAGAAAGAGCCAAGTTACCTAAAATATCCAATCCAAAGTAAGAAAATATAAGATGAGGGGAAATTTAACTGGAAGTTTAATATCCCTAGAAATACAGGTAACTGCAGAGACAGGCAGTGATGGCGGCAAGGGATGGAGGGGTATGGCCCCCCTTTATCAAATATCCATAGTTTCAGCATCGGCAGTCTCAGACCCTACTTTTAGCACTTTTAGTCTTATGAATRCTAGTCTTAGATTTCAACTGTTCAAAAAATCAGAAAAAATGTAAAACAGTAATGATGAAAAAATGTGAAACAGTAATGATAAAAAGGTAAACTATACACCATGAAAAGATGAAAAAACTTGGACACTAGTCCTTTGTCGTGGATTGAAAAGCATCCGAAACGTCAGTAAGTGTTTTCATCTTTTCACAGTGTATAATTTACCTTTTTATCATTTCTATTTTTTGTGACTAGGATTTGTTAAGTGCATTAGATCATATATGCATATGTTCTTTGCGCTACATAAGTATTAAAATGATTATCATAATTATCATAATTTTTGATATAGTGGACACATTTGAAGGGGAATCAGTTGTGACACTGACCATTTACTCTGTTGAACTCTACCCATCCTCCAGCAGCTATTATTCTTCTTGTTTCCTCTACAATAATAGAAGTGACAACAGAAAAAAATTAACAATTATTCGCTAAAGGTGAAGTGGAATATTTACCAAGCCTCGAGTCTTCGAGCTGCGTGGTAAATGTCACAATAATCACTGAGCCCGAGGGGAATAATTGTTTTAGTATAATTTTGGACTTGAATATCAGAGAAAAGTCAGGATAAAAAAACGTTTTATTATTACTTCCGATCTGGAAAATTTTTGAAGACCTCATAATTACTGCTCCAGCAATTATTGTCTCAGAGTCACCGAGGTCGCTTGACCAACCACACCTCGAGAAACTCTATATTCATGTCTAAAATTACACTAAAAGCTACTATTATTATTATTTCTTGATTTCATTATCGATTGAACTGCATGACAAAAATATACAAGGTCCCTATTCATGAAAAAAGATGCACACAACATGTGCTTAAGGACTCATTATTATTTATCCRAGGTGGGGGTGGGATGGGTAACAAAACAGTATGACTAGACATTTTTGCTATTTCCTATAGGGGGCTCTGATTACAGAACATTTGAGGGTGTTGAGCAAACAAGGGGAGGGTCAAGAATGTTTAGCCTTGAAAATTGAGGGAGGGTGTTGGAGGGGAAAGAAAAATTAAAAGATTACGAATTTCTAACCCCCCTCCAAAGATTTAAAATCATAAGTTTAATGACCTTCATTGCTTGGTTTGTGATCATATGACAGCTGATCTACTGCACCTCTTCTACTGGCCAGAGCACGAGAATCGCCAACATTACCCTAAATGATGATAGGTGATATGCAGTCAGTGATAGCTGGCGCAGAGAATATCTCTATTAATATATCAGAAGATCCTTTATTTAAATTCTAGAGAATTTTAGAATTGAAATGAGTAAGAGTTTGAATACAAAATATTATGGTTGGTAGATGCCAAGGGCAGATCCAGGGTTTTTTGAAGGGGGGGTCTCAGGGGTAAATTTTGTGGGCAAAGGAATCCCAGTCACATTTTTACCACAGGAAACCCATTTGACCTCAGGAATGACAGGGGGGTTGTGACCCCCCAGACCCTCCCCCTGGATCCGCCCTTGGATGCAGTTCACATTTTGTAAGCATGACATCATTGGAGTGAACATGTTTTGAAATAACACAAAGCCTTCATATTGCTTACTATAAAAGTTTTTAGAAATTTTGTAGTGGTAAAAATGAAGTGCAAATGAAGGGGCTGGTTTGAGTTTTTCATCTCTTTTTCAAGAGAGCTGCCATCAAGTAAATATCATAGCAGTCTAGTCCAATATATTTTCCAGTGCTTTCATCATGTTAAAGTGAACAGAAATTAGATTGTTGTTCGATCAAGCTGACCTCAATGTTTTATGGTCAATAGTATGAGTATGAGGATGAAATATCTAGCATGTTGATTCCTAACTGCAATCACTAACAGATCTAAAGTTCTTTCTTGAGGTGAGATAGATACTTACACAATAGATTTTATTGTTTTTTATTATAACAACATTTGCTGTTGTTCCAGCCATTTCATCTTTCATTTGTTCATCTATGATCAACAACAGAAATCATTTAACATGATGATAAAGGGAATAAGTTTTTTATTTAAACTTTTGTGGAAGGTCAAACCTCTTTATTCTGACAAAAGCCTGTTCCCTCGTCGACTTAATAAGAGAATCATGTATTTCTTACTGAGTGAAAGGGGAAGAGCTACTACCATTTAAAAAAATTTACTATCAATCCCCAGCCCTCCCCCCCCCCCCAAAAAACATATCTTTCCTAAGTCTAATCTTTACGACTTTGGGCATGAAAACTAATCTTTGAAGTAAAGAAGATCAAGCAAGGAAATATAATTCAATCAAAATTAATGCCATCAGCGTGATTTGGGGTTTTAATCCTCAGTGGATTAAACTCATGCATTTGCCAACATTAAGCCATTGCCATTGCCATTGCCATTGCCATTAAGCCTCACTGAATTGCAATATATATATAAACAAAATGTTAGGTTTTGTGAAGGGATGAAAACCAGAGAACCTGGAGAAAAACCCTTGGATCCAGGGAGAGACCTAACAAACTCTACTCATATGTGATGCTGAGTCTGGGAATCCTGGATGTAAGAACTACTGAATTACTAGGAATGGAATTATTATTTACCTTTTAGCATGTCTGTGTCACATTTGAGGAAGCCTTGTTTAATAGCTTCAGCAATATTACCCTTAGCTGTTAATAAAAATAGAAAAGAATAGGAAAAAAATTAATATAAAATTGAGATACATCATTTAAGCACTAGGATACTATATGGACAAGACTGCAGATCAAAGACGTTGACATTTCTTTTTTAAACGTTGATTTTTATTCTTTATTTTTTTCTTTACAATAGTATCAATAAATTTTTTTGTAGGTATATGGAGTGGAAAATTTCTAGTCATTATAGTATTCAATGTATAAGGTTTGGCATGTGAAGGAAATTGCCAACTGAATTGTCAGTCTATACTCAGATGTCTGATAATCACCACCGCTGGGTTAATTAAATTCAGAGTACAGCTAGATATTACGGCAGCGACGAGAGCAGCTTTTATTAGAACAAGAGTAGCATTTCCATTTCCTTTTTTTCCTTACCCCAGGCTGGCTGTGAGAGTATCTTGTACTGTAAGTGCTTTCCAACATATTGTGCCACTCTTGCTCCTAATAAATATTAATAACAATTGATAGTTGTTATATTAGTAAATAAATAAACTTTGTATAGAAATCTTAAATTTGACACAAAAATCATATCAAAAGAGTGTCTTGTTTGACTTAGACAAACAGGTGCATTTTGGTCTTGCTTGGGTACTAATGAAAATATCTACCTAGGGCACAAGGGGTAATAAATGTCTGTACCCCAAGCTAGAGCAGCATGCATAACATTGGGTGCAATAGTTTAAGTGCTTGGCCTTTTACCTCCATGCCCATCATATACTCCAAAAAATGCAGCTGTTTTATCCTCTCTTAATGAAAGTATCTCTGTGTGGGCATCTTCCATGTCTAGTGGCAGTGTTAAAGAATTCACACCCAATCCAGTAATACTTTTGAAAATACCGTATGCATCATAGGGTGATTCCCAGTACATGATGTTGCTGCTTTTGATGATGATAGTACTAAAAGTGACATTGATAAATTGTGATGATAGAGATGCTGATTAAATATGATGGTGATGATGTTGATGGTGATGATGATGGTGTAGATAATGATACATGATGCTGATGATGTCTGTCAATGATCGATGCTAATGATGATACTGATGATGGAGTAGATAACATCATATGATGCAGATGGTAACTGTTAGTGATGCTAATGATATATAATACTGATGCAAATAATATATGATTGTGATGGTGATGCTTATGATATATGATACTAAAGATATATGATGCTGCTGCTGATGATACATGATGCTGTTATTGTTAATAATAAAGGATACTTATGCGCCATCCCTGCATACATGATGAGCCGATCTTAAACTGCTTGTTACTGCATGAAGAGGTCTCCTTTGTTGTTACTGGTTCTGATAGTGTCTGGCCCATCCTGTACATAACAGAGCATCAAAATCAGATTCCGTCTAGCATAGCTGAAAAAATGCTTAAAGTACTGGTAGAAGTTTGGAGCATTTCAAAGTCTTCGTATTACTTAATTGACATGTTTTTATACCCCAGACAACTCCAGCCTTAGCAAATTTACTTTTTTATTGGCCATAGTCCATCAATTTAAGGGGAAAAAACAGCAAAAGTCTTCAACATCTGGAATTTGTGGATGTCACTTGAGTTTGCATCTTAAACTTATTCATTATAATCATTGAACAATGAAGGGTTTATAGTCCTATATATAATTTCGCCTTTGCATGTCATGTTTCAAATTATCAATTATGTACATTAAGAAAGAACAAAAGCATTTATTCTTTAGTTTATATAATGTATCTATTTAGGAGCATAAAAAATAGAGTTACTGTATAATATACGAAGTTCAATAACATGGAAAAAAAACAACAAATAAAATGAAAAAACTTGTTATAGCAGTAAATTAAATGAAGCATATAAATATTATTAATAAAAATTATATTACTATAACAGGTATACAGCAATCCATAGTAATAAGCACAAATATACAAATCATTATATTTTTTGGACAAAATGTTTAGAAGACTTTTCTTAAAACATGTATGTGTATATCACTATGACTAGTATACAGCAACACAGTAATAAACAAATTATTATATTTTTAGATGACATATTTGGAAGTTTTTTWAAAAAACATATATGTGTATAATCGATTTTTTGGTTTTGTTTTACTGGTAGTCATCTACTCAGCCATCAACAATGCTTGTTTAAGGTCTAAATAAAATATGAATTATGCCAAACATAATTTGCATAAAGCATCGTTAGTTGTAAAAGTTATTCACAAGTTTCCAAGCAATTCTTAAATTTCTTGCTTTTGTTGAATTTTAAAAACTGTTTTAGTATCAAAATGTAGTTGGTGCAGATGTAATAATTAACAATTGTTTGCTGAAGGCAAAGAGAATATCAGGGCATATTTACCCAGACATGTAAAAATACTAATGATAAATTATATTTATGCAATAAAAGATAAATTTTTGTTTTACTTGTAGCACAGAGTTACAACTTACCTACAGCAATGACTGTTATTTATAGTTTATATTCATGAATACTCATGATTATAGGTGTTATTTAGCATAGCTAGTACGCCACCTGTGACATACTCCAACCATAATGACTGACAAAATTCAACTTCTGACAAGTTGGACATTAGTTCATATGAGTGCTACTCTCTTGAGGCATTTAGATTATATTTTTTACTTAAAAGCTTTTGCTTTCAATTTCGGAGATTTTTATCACTAAATCTTGAATCATAGCTTGATGTCTGAGTTTAAGGAAAAATATATAAAATCCCCATCGACGAAAAAAAAAAAGATCTTATTTTCATATCTTTGTCAGCATAAAAACTATCAACAAACGAAAAAATTCATACACAAAAAAAGAAAATCTTGAGTGATTATGACGGATAATTTTTGGATATTTTTACATGACAGCGTAGCATTTTCTTTTAGGAATAAAGAAAAAAAGCTTTTGGAAGTAAAATCATGAGCAGTCTCGACTTAGGATGTCGTGTTCTGTTAACTCTCAACGAGTTTTTGATGCAGTTTTGACTTCACTTCCAAACAGGAACGAATTAATTATGTCATTAGAAGATTATTTTACATTGGTAACAATATTCTGTATAATATTTAGACAGAGGACCAATACGTAGTCCTTGTGAGGTACTTCTTAGTTCATTTTAGTGTAGGCTAACCTGAGAAAGATGGACAGATTAAAACAGTGTCCAAAGAGAGAGAGAGAGAGAGAGAGAGAGAGAGAAACCGAATTAGACAACAGATAAAGGACAAGAAATCAAATTCAGCCCTGGTAATAATCAAACCACTTATAATAAATTCACTAACCTTGCACTTCTTATAGTCATAACAGAACAAAAACTAGATAATAAAACTACTGGAAAAAGTGGGATTTAGATTTTCCTAATGAGGACCTTAGTCCTGACACTATGGACGCTGGCAAGATTTGAGGTACCAAGCGAACAACTCAATCTTTACTTACCTTACGACTATTTCAAACGGCAAAAGGGGGCTCAAATTCTACCTCGTAGTTGTAGCAGTACCTTGGCTACCTGATTAAGTTAACGGAATAAGGAAAGACTCCGGAAATTTTCATGTAAACATGACGAAAAGACTACTGCACACAAAGACTGAACTGACCGACATCTTGAACTGAACCGAAAGGGGCCGTGTCACGTGACTATCATACGTAAATACACTAGAAGAGGGATAGCATAACGATTGGATCGATAACAATTGACAATACCCCTATCCTAAAAATATACTCCTAATATTCTCCTATGATTTCGCGAAAATATTATTTTTAGTAATCAAAATACTACTCTATTGTTTAAATRTGCGATTTTTGAAATATCAGCGAAATCAGATGAGCTTTTTAAGTTGGTTTCTATGGCAACAAGATTGGGATTTTTCGCCTGGAGGGAATTTTACTTTTAAAAAAAGATTAAAGTTGATAATAATTTTACAATRTGTAAATTTAACATGTATTATATAACGGTGTGTGTTTATTGTTGAGCATAACATAACAATTTTTGATTGACTCGTTCACTACCCTGTCAACTCCCTTCACAGACTCATACATTATTAGGGACCGTCTGGGAGGGGATGGGGTGGTGGGGGGNGGGAATGGCGGAGGATTTTGGGGGAGAACAGTCGATTTTCGGTAATACTAATAAAGGGGGGATAAGTCGTAAACGACAGCTTCAAGAGGGGGGGACCAATCAAAATGTGGAGGAATTCATGATTGCGTAATATAATACTACAATATTGCCAGGTCGAGATGCTTCCTTAGTTATTCACAAACTTTATTCTTAAAAAAATATTTCAGTAACTCGCTTAATGTTCTATTTAATTATTTAGTCTTGTGAAATTCTATTAAAAATTTGGTATGCTGTCTTATCTATTTCATTTTAAGACAATACCAATACAATACCAGTTTAGAGGTATTTATTTGTCTTTCTTTCTTTCTTTCTCTCTCTTATCTTCTTTCTTTCTCTCTCTCTTTCTTTCTTTCATTCATTTTTTCAGTCATTTGAATATCTATTCTTTTTTAATTTATTAGTAATTTAGTTTTTTTGGCAGTAGAGTTAAAACTGTTTGAACGTTTTCTATGAATTTAACAATCTGCAAGACAGTAAAACATACCATTTGAATCATAATTGTAACAGCAACGATGTTTGAAAATTGTATTTTACAAAAAGCTCACTGGCTTGAAATCGTCTTTCTCTATGGATCATAATTGGTTTCAACACTACAGGATTGCGATCGTCGGATTCAGCTCCCTCACATGAATCGGTAGTCTCCCCCACAGCCGCTTTCAGTGTCGTCACGCAGCGCTTTCTCCCCTAAGAAGGGAAGAAAGCCTTGCGTGACGACACTGAAAGTGGCTGTGGGGGAGACTAATGCATCGGACTCCATAAATTCGTTTGCCTCTGTCTCCTCTTCGCTGTCAGCACCTTCTGATTCAACATCGTCGTCGGTTTCAGAACTCTCTTGCAACACCTTTTCAGGAGCACTTGCCTGTAGAATGGCCACTACTTCTTCTAGCCACAGCAAAGCTAGGGTCTAAATGGAAACGTTGGAATGAATTCGTTGGCTTTTGCACGCACGAAGGACCTTCCTCGAGGCTGATATGTGGTGTCGTCAACTTATTCGAGGCTGACTGAAGTTCATATGAGCATATCCCTAAGATAACTTTTGTAACTGACGAAAGCATTTCCGATGTTGTACAAGCCCCATAAAAAAAGCGAGAAAAAAAAAAAAATCCTGAGCAATGAAACGAAAAGACTTTGAAAAACAAAAATTTGTAACGAGGGATTTATAAAAGACTTGTGCTCGTTTAGCTGATCTATGATAAAGTACAGATGGAGCTTCGCGCTGATTTTTACGATACCGCGGTAAAAACAATCATTGGCAACTGAACTCCAGACTGTAAATACTGTATTAAAGTAAAGTATCAATAAAATAAGAGCTTATGTAGGAGGGAGGGGGGGGGGGGGGG